GAGAGAGAGAGAGAGAGAGAGAGAGAGACCCATCAGGGCATTTCCAACCAGCCTTACAGACAAATTACAAGTGTAAAGCAAACTCATTTGTTTAACCCCACAATAGAGAAAACAAAAGGTAAAGTTACATGTACTAATGATGAACCATATATAAAGAAAGAAATAGGAAAAAGGAAATTAAAAGAGGGAGAAGGAGTACCCATGAAATCAGTAAGGACACCACCGTCGGAGTACCGGCCGGATGGCTTACCGGGATAGGTCATACCATAGGGGACCTTCCAAGAACTTGCCTGAGTTTTTCTATTGTTCCCTGTATCAGCATATGAGTCACCGAACACAAAAAGCTTTGTTGGACGAAAGCCATGCTGGTGATGATGGTGGTGGTGGTGAAGAGAAGAGCCCTGCACAACTTGAAGCCCTACGCATACCAAAAAGAGATAATAGATTGTCAGCTTAGAAACAATTGATTTTTCCCATGGAAAGAATAATGGAAAAAGCTAAGCATACCTGTGATGAGCGGTGAAAAGAGGAAGAAGAAGGAGAAGATGAGCTTTTGGAGTTCCATGAGAGAGAATGACAAGGTTTTTAGTGGGAGACTGTGAGAGGAGAGGAGCGTTACAAATGAGAGGGGAAGTGGAAAGATATAAGGAAAATGAATGGAAATCTGTTAAGTGGTTATAGTGACCTAGGATACTGAAAGAGCTCTGCTTTGGTGGCTTTCACCCTATGTGGACCCTTCAGGGTTTAGGAAAGTGTCATTGTGGGGTCCACTTGGTGTAATAGTAAAATTATTTTATTATGATTTAAGTGTTACTCATTTGAGTAAAAAAATAGTATTCTTGCTTGAAATAAGACTATATATACTCAAAATATAAAATAAAAAAAGATTAATTTATTTTTTAAAATATTTGGTGTTGATCATATTATTCATTGGAGGGAAAAATCTAAGATAACTGAAAACAAAAAGTTTGAATCTTTCTACAAGATATTCCCTTTATATTTATTTGAATTTCGTATTTATCGGATTGATAGGGAATTCAAAAGAGTTTCATCTGTTGTTGATTTTATCCTTCAAATTCTCTATCCATACCCTTTTGATTGTTTTTTTAAAATCTCACATGATAATTACATAGATAGCCGGAAAAAAAAAAACTTTTCTCTTTTGTGTGTGAATATTGCTACAAAGATGAACAAACTAAAAGTACGAGGACAACAACTCAAAGCAAACCTAGGAACAAATATTCAATGTAAGAGTGACTACCATTATTATTAAACATTGACCATGTAAATTTCACATAATTTAATAAAAAAAAAAATCTTGTAATCAAATAATAACCACCATATATAAAGTAGTGAGTTCACTTTGTTTTTATTAAATGAAAGTATCATGTGGCGATAATAATATAGTGTTATTGTTACATTCAATATTTAATTTTTGACACTTAGTATTTTTCTTTTGTTTTAACCCAATTAAAACCCAAGGCCATTTGTATTCATTGTGTAAATTTTGACTATGCATAGATAAAATTAAAATTCAGACATAATTAATTGGTTAAATTTCATATTGTTCCAAATTGAAATGACTTCAATTTTTGATGAAAAATAGCTATGAAAATCAACTGGGTATAAACCCAGTTGGCCAGCCTTAATACTCTCGTCGAGGAAGTTAGGGGTCAATCACCGCTTAAAAAGATTGATTTCTTACGTGTCTTTCAATTCAAGAGTTCGGTTGTATTTTTCTTTGCCATTTTTTTTTTTGAGGATTTTGAACGCTTCTTTCGAGCTTGCAATTAAACTTATAATAGAGATTAATCATTGTACATCGAAAAACACGTACGCGACTAGCTCATTTACCCCTCAAAATATTAATATGTTTTACATTGCGTAATGAACAATGTTTGTTAGTCTCGCACTGTTCCAATGTATGAAGTGTCATTTGGACTTGGGGCAAGTGAACCAAATCTATGGATGGGTCTAAAAAGAGAATGCAGTGGCGATTACCCCCAAAAGTTGAAAATTATTCGTAATAATATTAGTATTAGCTAATGTCGGAAAAAACATTATTAGTAATACCTATAGACCATCAAACTACATAGGTTCAATCTACACAATTTTTTTTTTTCAAACTTTAGGGAAAATTTCATCGAGACCTTCAGTAGTTAGGTCTAAATTTAATGACATTCTCTCCCGATTTTGGAATATCACTGTCACCCTCCTATGAGTGCTTGTCGGGTTACAGTATTAACGATGATTGTTGATATCCCTGAGTATTTTGTAAGGTAAATTTTATCCACACTCCTTATAATTAGACCTAATTTTAACAATACTCGCTCTCGATTCTGAAATTTTAATGCACTCCTTTTTAGTTCTATTATATTAGTCTTTAAGTTCATCAATTTAACATTTAATTTTAACAAATTAATGGCTTTTATTTAATTTAAATTAAATTAACATTCCACCTTATCAAATCAATACAAAATTGATATTTAATTATTATTTAATTCCATCAAATCAACACTAAATTAACATTCAATTTTATTAAATTAAAATTTAATATATTAAATAGAATATTAAGTTCTATTAATTCAACATTTAACCTTATCAAATTAATGTCATTTATTTAACTTAACATGAAATGAAACATTCAATTTTATTAAAACAACATTCAAATTTATCCAATTAATATTAAATTTTGTCAAATCAACACTAAATTAATATTTATTTTTATCAAATTAACACCAAACTAATATTTAAATTTATCAAATTAAGATCAAATTTATTCAATTAATATTAAATAATATTTAAATTTTATATATGAATGGTGATGTGTGAAAAGTGGTCGGGTGACATTACGGAGGACAGACGATAGCATAAGAGTTAGAAATAGATGAAATTTTGACATTCACTTTATCGATTGTAATTTGTATTATAGAAAAATTATTTTTAACCATAAAAATTATAAATACTCGATTATGTAATCAAATGAGTGATAATATGATGACTAATATTATAACAAAGTTATCACGCAACGCTTTGAAATGATAAAAATTCATTAGGATAATATAATGACAGATATCTCGCTTGCTAGCTGGCTAGAGTATATATAATGGGGAAATAATTTAGGGTATTGTAGTTTATTTATATAATAAAGGGTAATTTTAATATTTTTATAATATAAAATATTTAATCAAATCATTACTTTTTCTACTGGCAGTGGTAAAATTATCGTTCAGATGTATCATTGAAATTAGACTTAATTATTGGAGGTGTTGATGAAATTTTTCCTAAACTTTAAAGGTAAACCATGGAACTTTGGCTCTCCTAGACTAACTTCCATGATCCGTCCCTACCCCTAACCATGAATCATATCCACTAGACAAGGTTCATTTAAAAGCTTAAGCTTACTTTGAAAGGTGTCGAGATAATTGATAAACAAACAAAACAAATATTCCCACGCCTTTATAATCGGCTTTAAAAACATAAGCAACTTTCGAAGGAGTTAAGGTAAATATAAACAAACACAACGAGAATTTCCACCACTGAATATCTAAGACACATAGTATGGCAAGAAGATCAAGGCAGAGAAATCCCTGTACTTGAAACATTTTCTCTCCTTAGAGAGAATGAATAGCAAGTGACATAAAATAGAAACCTGTCCAAAGACATAAGTTCAACAGTTGAACCTTTAGACCCTGAAAACAAGAACAAGCTCATTAAGACTGCACTCTCTAGTCTCTACCTATTCTTGAAAGGGTTAATCTTGATAACCAAACCAGGAAAAACGTCATCCGGCTCATGGATATGTGGATTCTCTTCAACAATATATTGATCCCCACACTTTTCACTGATAGTATGCAGAGTCTCTCCCTCTCGAACCACATAAATCTCATCACATGGCCTATTCAGGTCATTCCAGTTCACCGGCACCATGTATTCGCTTTCAGTTGAGTCACAGCAGCTCAGGGCCAGCATTAGTGCCAAAAGCAAAGCACAGTACCAGGACACCTTCTCAGCCATTGCAGTCGATGATCGAACACCTGCCATGAGTTTAATCTTCAAGGTTTTCAAGTAAGTTTCATCCCTTGTTTCGGGTATTGTAAGCTTGGTATAAAGGGTATTTCTAGTGTTTATGTAGAGGATTAAGAGGTGGAATTTGATGTGCTAAGTGAGGTGTGATGTTCCTTTCCAGTTTCCACAGGTCGTTGAAGTGGGTGGAGTTTCTTGCGGGAGTTGGGACGGTTCCTTCAGTGTGGTAGGTAACTGTCAGGGGGAAGACATTGAAAAATAAAGGGAGGGAAAGTTGGTTCAACTGTTTTGTTAAATGAGCTAAGACTTAAACCTCTTTCCAAGCCAAGAAAAAGAGTCCAGAGATTTGATTGCTCTGTCGATAGTTAAACGAGTTCCAACTGAGCAAGTCTAGCTTGAACAAGCTCAAAACGAACTGAATTTGAATCAAATTTGAATATTTTTGCATAAACGAGTTAAGCTGAATCTGTCAGACTTGTTTTTCAAACGAACTTAAAAATTATTCAAGTTTGATTCATTTAAAAAACGAGCCGAATTTGAATGAACCAAAAATAAATTGAACTTGAACTGAGCTCGAGTAGCTCCGTTTGATTAATAGTCCTACTCTTAAGTTTACATTAGTCATACAAGTGACCGGCAATGCACGAGGTTTACGTCTCTTATTGCATCTCAGCATATCTATCCTGCTCCTACCCTAAACTGTTTACTTGTGTATTGGAGATGTTTAAAAAGAACAGAGATTGTGAAATTGAAGAACGAATAAGAAATCAAGAGAGCGATTTGTGCACAACACGGAAGAGTTTGGTTGGAAGGAATTTTGTTTTCCTTTTTCAATTTAGCAAGTTAGAAAAAGGGAGAGTTAAGCAAATTTCAAAGAAAGGCTTCCTTCACAATTTGATAGTTATATATACAATTATACATCCATCTGTAACGTAGACAAACAAGAAATCTAAATTTTCTGAACTTAAATTTTGATAATTCTTTAGCGCCACATTATAAAAAATTATTATTCATGAATACTCTAATTTCGCCATAAATGACCAGTCTTTGACCAGACCAAAGAGAGAATTAGTCAAAATATGCGTAAATTAGTTTAAACACGACCGTTTAACCAAAAAAAGAAAAAGAAACTAGGCTTCACTTATAACATGCTTATATTATATGGGTACATATTTAAATTGTGTTTCTCATTCTTTCTTTCTTTTTTTTTTTTAAAATGGTTTGGGATTTTTTTTTCACAAAAGCAGCATTTATATTACTGACTTGAAGATTCATTCATTTAGGATAGTGCATTGAATATTCTACATGATATTTAGATGGAATGACATCAAGTTTATGAAGCAGTTTAAGTTTTTTCAGGTCACACCTCAGACATGTTCCAGTGGATGAACTGCATTAAGATAACATGTCTAGACAATTCGACAATTACAAGAAATTTTCAGCAATAATAATCCAGTTCAAATTAAACATGCCTAGACAATTCGACAATTACAAGAACTTTTCAGCAATACTAATCCAATTCAAATTAACCTTCCACTCCCACCACCATGGGTTCCCGGTTGCTAGAAATCAGAGACGGCCCAATCTTTCATTTTTACAGTTTCTTTCATTGTTTGGGGGGGGTGTAAAGCGCAAGATCCAGCAGCAATCAACGTTTCATCAACATTTTCTTGATGTAAAAAAGAACTTCATCCACATTAACCGTCCATGCAACTGAAACAGGGGAATAGCCTGACCATGGGTTGCTTGAATTCCACCTGTTCCGATTATTTTGACAAAATTAAAGACGATAATATAGGCTAATCCAGGCTCAATGGAGTAGATTTAGTTGAAACATACGTTTTTAGTCCTTGGTCCATTAGCGTATGCCCTACACAGATGCCCTGTGTCTCAACCCTCACAACCCCATTCTTGTATGTAAAGAGATCAGGCCGAACTAGTGCCACAAAACATACTGGGTCATGAAGGAAAATTCCTGAATATGTCAACAACAAAGCATTATTTCAATAACCTTTATCAAGAGAAAATAGAAGCTGCCAGGTAATAAACAAATGAAAGAGGAAAATATTATGATCCTGTAGGTTATGACAACAACAGTACCATAAACGCCGTCAGACTTTACATGCCAGTCTCGGTAAAATTTGCACATGTTGGATATAAATTGAGCATGTCTTCCTCCAGACTGTCTCAAATCAGAGAGGTCGGCATCTGAAATAATAAGATGGTATACTTTCAGAAAGAATATTTTTTTAAGTGAGAGTGGCATATAAATGCAACTATGAATTGGGGAAGTCAAAAGGGGGACTAGCACCTGTCATTTTGACTTGTGTTGTAATATTGATCCCAACGACCACAATATGTGCCCCAGAGGTGAACACAATATCTGCTGCTTCTGGGTCCCCATAGATCTACAAGTCAAAAAAAAAGACTAGTGTCATTTTTTTTCTCCTTATTATCGGTTTATATTATATTTTTTATTTATTTGTGCATCCTTCTTATTGGGGGGAGGAGGTTTAAGTTGAAAAAGGTTTGGATGAACTAAAACCTTGAACTAAATCCTGCCGCTTCAGGGCCCCTCCATAGATCTGCAAGTCAAAAAGATGACTATTGACATTGCTTTTCTCTTTAGTATCATTATAGTATTAATATTTGGTTTTTCGTTTTCTATACTTTTTATCTGGGGGGGAGTTTTAAGTTGAAATGGCTTGGGTTAACTAAAGTATTGAACCAAATCCTGCTGCACCTAATGTAGAGTTCCACAATCCTACAATAGATACCATAACAGAGCTCATCCAGATGACTGAGGTGAAAAAATAATTAATATAACGGTGGTTCTAGAAGCAGAAAGTCCTAGTTTACTTATACTTCTATTGACAGACATGGGCTGAACTGATGTGTAAAGTGTAACCCTAATTTTTAAGAGGTTTTTCTTCAGAGTAAGAAAAAAATTCCTAGGAGTTAACTCTCTTGAGAAATGATTAAGATGGAAACAGGAGGAGACAGGATTAAGACAACTTACTTACAAATCTCCCTAGTATTAATACATGTAAGAGAGAACAGTGTAATTGAGTAATCTAAATCACTTCTTCCAATAAAGAAGAGAGAAGTAATAACACTTATCACATACATTTGCTTCTGCAGCTGGATTGACATTTCCTAAAGCAAAGAAAGCCCCACCAAGTATGACCACCTTTTTCACCTTGCTGGCAAAGGTTGGGTCCCTTTTGACAGCCTAATTCAGAGGTTAAACATTAAAGTAATGCAAAAGACTATGCAACAAAGAAACTTGAAAGTATGAAACATGTGAGATTACACTGAGACAAAAGGACACCAGAACTAACCATGGCCAAGTTTGTCAGGGGTCCTAGCGCAAGTATAGATACTTCACCAGGATATTCAGAGACTTTATCAACTAAAAATTTTGATGCAGTCTTCTCAATTTTCTTTGATTTTGGAGGAGGTAAATTTATGTTTCCCAATCCATCTGCACCATGAGCAAAGTCTGCAACACGTGGTATTCCCCCCTAATCAAAAAAATATGTAAATGATAGGATAGCCATATTATGGTCTAAATAAAAAAAAAAATTAGGAAAGGATACAATGAAGGTGTATTGAAAGTGGAGTATATTAAGACCCACTCCAGTCCTCTACTCAACCAACTGGAAAAAGCAATTGCTAAAGTAGGACTTTAAGTGTCTAAGCTTACGCTGAGCTGTAGGCACCGCCCAATAACTATATAAGTGCCTCATTGCAGTTATGCATATATGTATTTATGTGCAATGCCCAAGTATTTTGTTTGTAAGCAGAATAAACAAAGCATGTAGAATGTAAATGAGAAAGGTTTACACTTTGATATAGAATTTGTTGATTCAGTTGAGAATACATATAAAAGAAGCTACCTTCAGAGGTTCAGAGCTACCCTCTGCCACCGGAACACCTGGATATCCTGCGATCTCACACTATCCTTTTGCACATTAAAAACGGTAATTGATCACGAACATGTTCCAAAAACATGGATGATATGAAATTATAGCAAATATAAAAACTAAAAATCAACTAAAGCAAAAAACATACCAGATGCAATGCATTATGAGTGGCATCTTCCGTAGCAACGTTACCAAATATTGTTGTTAAGCCTAAGATTTCCACAACTGGCGTTTGGAATGCCATTAAGATAGCCATGCTATCATCTGTAGACCAAAAGAAACCCCACTCACATCTCAAATGACACATAGGAACAGATTCACTTATAATATTAATGATTCAATATTCTTATTCACTCATCCCAGGAGGCAATACACAAAAAGGTTTCTCCTTTTCTGTAATAGCTCCTTTTGTTTGCAAGTAAATAAAAAAAGGTAAAAACTCATTTCACCAAAAAAAAAGTTTTTCTTGACAAAAAATAAACTTCAGGTACTAGTATTTGCTCCACAGCTGATGATAAGGAACACGATCACTTATTCAAACATATATAGAGGCAAAATATTTTTTTTTTTCATAAATTCTCGTTTCCTATCAGGATAAAAACATCTACAACTTCCCTGCAGAGCCCCTAAAAAATTTAGGTTGTAAATTTATTATCTTAAGGAAAAACATGTTTCAGCCCCTAATTTTCACTTTTATTTTCAACATGTACATAAAAATTGCTTGGTCCCGGCAAATAAATTCGTGCTCAACACAGGCATTTCATAGGTTCATGCTTAGTCCACCCATCCCCGCATTTCACAAAACTTTTCCTTTGGGTTTTTTTTTTTTTTTTTCCTGTTCTTTGTGGGTGAAGGAGGAGAGTATTTTCTTGGCATTACGAAGAATCCATAGCAATAGAAACCAAAGTTTGGATCCAGCAATTCTTTTACTTTCAGTTTCAATTCCAACAAAAAGCAAAATGAAAAGTATTAATTATTCTTATTGCTTGACAATATTTGCCACAAAATCAACAAATTCCGGGAAAAAAATAACGACAATACATAACCCACACACACTGATAGAGAGAGAGGGAGGGAGAGAATGACTCACCA